GCCAATAAGAAACGCTATCACCTAATAATAATAAAAATCAGTTGTCCAATCACACTTAGCCAATAGAATTACTTATATATTTATTATATAACCATAGTATACATCATATTATAATGACATTTCTAGAAATTTAATCGCTTTCTTTACAGAATGCCAAAAACATGGGGTGTGACTGTAGCTGAAATAAGCGCAATTTGTGTCCTTCATTAGGTATTTCACTTAGCGATCTTGCAAAGCGATATAATATTGCCTGATCAACTATTGCCTGCATAAACTCCAGATTTTAAGAAACTGATATTCTTTCAAATCATCCAAGAAATGGTCGTAGTCGTAGCACTATTGCCTGTCAGGAACGACGTTTACATATGCTGCAGTGTGGTCAACCAACTGCTAATTATTGAGCAATTTAATATGAAACAAGACACATATTTTCTGCAAGCACTACACGCATATGTCGTATGATGTCATTTGGATTGCGTAGTAGAGTTGCAAAGAAGACATCAAGGATTTCAGTCTGCAATAAGAAAGAAAGGCTAACTTGGGTTACAGAAAATAGCACATGGACTATCGATCCGTAATGCCCAATGTGCTGTTCCCTGATGAAGTGGGGACATTGGTGAACTTGTCGAAATTCCTAATTGCCTGAATTTTGCTGGATACATTCAACTATTTCAGGACAGTCGAAATGCGCATGATCTTGTTCAGTTTAATTACATTCCGCAGCAAGATAATACCCCAACCCATACAGCTTAGTTTCAGCAACAAGAACTTTCAGTTATGCCATGGTCACCACCATCACCCGATGCAAGCCCAACTGAACATATTATATTTGAGACACATTTAAGGAAAAATTGGACAAAATGAAAACTTCAAAAGCAATGATTCGAATGAAGGCCCAAGATGCGTGGCGTGAGACAATTATCCCAACCAATTAATCGAATCAATGCATACCAAAATAGTTGCAATTATTACAAATCGTGCTGGAGTTTCACATTATTTTATGAATCAGTTACATATTATTCAGTTATATTGTTTGTGCACTACATTATTCGGACTACTGTCCTCATCTTTGTTTTCTTTTATCTCTCTTCCCTTCAGTCTGTCCTGTGAGTATCAGATTTTCCAAGCCCTCCGTCCTCATTTCTTTCTGATGATATGTGTAATTTTCGTTTTTGTTTCCATTTTCTATAAAACTTCAACGTTGCTCATTCTATCTATGTATTGTTTGTCTCTTCATTAAAGATACTTAAGGTACATTATTCGGACTATTGTCTTATCTTTGTCGCCATATTTATCATTTCTTTGTTGTTCTTCAGGTGGTTGGAATGTTTACCCTTTATTTCGCTTGCTTGCGTCAACTAGTTCCACGTGCCATGTCTAATGGATGCCATTTATCAGTTATCTCCTGTTAATTCCCCTCTCAAATTTCACCACCTTAACCAGGTATTGAACTCACACTCTTTGGGTCCTGTTACCGGATCTAACTAATGCCTTTATCCACTCTGCCATGGTCTTGTGTGTGATTTTCTGAGTATTATAAACCTAATGTCTTCAGCAACTATTTTTACCAGTGCTCATATTGCAATTTTTGCTGTTATCATTTTTTTTTACCAGAGCTCATATTTCAATTTTCGTTGTTATTGCTTTTTCTCTGGCACTATATTGTTTGTTGCTACAGAAAGTTGAATTTCTTCTTATTACTAAGTGGTAGAGTTAATTATTGGCAGGGGTGTATATTCAGAGATTGGCTAATTACAAAGCAGTATTCTATTATTTATTCATTATTGCAAATAATATGAGGCGAAGTACAAAATATTTCGGTTCGACCAAGAAAAGATTTGAAAATAAATTCTCATGTTTGATGATAATATTAGATTTTAAGAAATAGGGCGGCTCGACATCTTTTCACCCTCCCCACGTATCAGTTCTGCAAATAGGAAATAATTGGTCGACTCTAGAATGTAAGTGCTATGGAGGAAATCAACCCAATGTACGACGGTGGGGATGTACGTTTAAGTAAGTCTGTAGTCTCGTAGTTATGTATTGAATATATTAAGTGTATGTCAAAGTTTAAGGCAAAAGAAAAAAAAACGGTTTTCAATTGTGTAATCTGTGTCTAGCTAAAAAAAAAAAAAAAAAAAAAAAAAAAAAAAACTCTGTGGATTTTTGCTCACACCTATAGGCACGCCTACATGGAAAAACTTCGCCACCTACATACATAAGTTTCGGATCCTAATCGAGAGGAAGCGTCAATATATTACTTGTTTTACGATTATCAACTGCCCAATATCAATAGTTGCAATAGAAACATTGTTTCATCTGGAAAAGAAAATGGGTGGACATTTAGCGCATTAGAAATCACGCTTATATTTTTTTTAAGTCCTTATCGACAGAAAAGTTGCAATGTCCTTCCTTTGCGTTTCATCTGATAAAAGCCAATATTTCTTTTACCTGTCGACATATTGTCACTTTGTTTTGTGTTTAGACACCAGATTCTCGTTAATCACGTCGAGAGGCAGCCAGTTCACATTGTCTTTTTTTTATAGAAAGAGAGGAAGAGATAGAGGAACGATATAGGAAAGAGGAAAGACAAAACAAGTAAGAGAGAGAAAGCGTGAGAGAGAAATCGATAGAAAGTGAAAGAGCAAAGCGAGATATAGAAAGAAAAACATGAGAGAAAGAGAAAGTGTAAAGGAGAAAAAGAGACTGAGGGAGAAAAAGAGACGCATAGATAAAGCAAAAGAGAGATAAAGAAAAATAGATAGAATGAGAGAGAGTTAGAATGAGAGAGAGAGAGAGAAAAGAAAAGAGATAGAAATAAAAATAATAAACAGAGATAGAGAAAGAGACAAAGAGAATAGGAAAGAGTGGGAAGGAGAAAAAGACAGCGAGAAAGAAAAATAGATAACTAGATAGAAAGAGAAAGTGTTAGAAGACAAAGAGTGGGGAGACAGAAAGAAAGAGAGAGATAGAGAGAGAGGGAAGAGAGAGAGAGAGAAAAGAAATAGAAAGAGAAAAGGGAGATAGATAAAGAAAAAAGAGAAAAGGTGGTAAGGAGAAAAAGACAACGACGGAGAAAAAGAGAGAAACAGATAAAGAAAAAAGGAAAGATAAAGAGAAAGAGAAGGTATGAGAAGTGAAAGGGTGGGAAGAGAGAGGGCGAAATAAAGAGAGAAGAGATAGAGAGAGACTACTAGAAAGATGAAAAGAGAGAAAGAGACAAGGAGAACGAGAGTGTGAGAATTTGAAAGATAGAGAGTTATAGTGAGAAAGAGTGAAGAAAGACATAAAGAGAGAGAGAGAGAGAGAGAGAGAGAGAGAGTATTAGAAATGGAAAAAAGAGAAAAATGGAAAGAGAGACCGAAAGAGAGTAAGAAAGAGAATGAGAGAGAGAGAGAGAGAGAGAGAGAGAGAGAGAGAGAGAGAGAGAGAGAGAGAGAGAGAGATAGAGAGAAAGTGACATAGAGATAGAATAACAGAGAGGTATAGAAAAAGAGAAAGAGGATAAAAAGACATAAATAGATAGGCAGAAATACAAAAGCATATAAACTTAGATTCGTATGACACAAGGACAAACATTAAGGAGCTAATAAGGAGAATGTACATTTTTCAATTAAGTCGAGAATAACTATCTTGAAAATCAGTATTCAAAATCACTTAGTTTAAAATAATTAAAGAACAAAGAAAAAAGTATAAGAAGATTGTGTAGCACCAGTTTTGAGCAATCGTAAATCGGTGAAAGAAGGAACAATTCACAACATTTTTTTGCAAGCTAGGATGAAGGTAGTATTTATTTGGGAGGAGAGAGAAGATGGTCGCAGTATAATTTTGCTTTCATTTTTTTTTTCGATTATTCCGATTTGTACTTTACTCCCGTTCTTTCTTATTGTAAAATTCTGTCGCTAATTTTTTTTTTAAACAAAAAAAGATAGAAACAGAATTTTACAACGAGAGAGAATGAGAGTAAAAATCCTGAACATATATTGTTCAAGAATTTTACAAGGTGTTAACTCTCACCCTTTGTTAAACCAGACACTCACATCGATGGAAGTGTACAGCGGAACTGTCCACAAAAAATAAATAAATAAATAAATAAATAAATAAATAAAAATAAAATAAAATAAAAATAAAAAATAAATAAATAGCGGAGACTATATGACAACCAATTTTACTACATTTCCTCAATAAAGATCAGCCTCATTCTGGGTTGTAACAATTTTGTTAATGATTACTTCCTTTCTTCATCGCTTGACGATTGTCTCACCGCATGAAACTCGCTTTTTCAGAAGAATATTTCCTCGTCAGAATCCATCTATAATGAATTAATATATGGAGTAATGGATAGCGGGTCGGACTGAGGAATCGGAGAGCTGTGTTCATTACATTCACTTACATGCAAATAGCATAGGGAAAGGTATGAATCTATCACCTCCCCATCTATGGGTAAATAGCAGGAAAGACAGGGAATCATATAGCCATTGGCGGTCATCATCTTGCGGCCTCAGCCGAGATTGAACTCACCAATACTTTGATTGGTGTAGTTCATAATCTTGTCAAATAGCTGAACTCTTGATGCTTCGCTAGGGCTATCAAGGGTGTTTTTTTTTATCGTGACACCATCACTAAAGGGATTGCCAACCAAGGCTCAGAGAGACTCCATTCACCCTTATCTAAGAGCAGGTTTGAATTCAGAGTTTTCCTTCTCCTAGACCAGTTGCCATCCAAAGCTATAGAACCCAGTCTATCCACCCATAGCTGGAGGGAGAAGAAAGAGGATTCACACCTTTCCCAAGGGTGTTAGCACATAAATGAATGTAATGGATTCAACTGGAATTCGAACTCGGCTCTCCGATTCCTCAATCCAAGCCGCTATCCATTACTCCACCGTGCCATTGGGGGTAACGTGTCTAGGAGAAGCACAACTCAGAATTTAAAAAAAAACTGAGGAGGGTCGTTTGTTGACCTTGTCACACATTATAGTTCACCAATTCTCTATAGTCTTACGGCCGTATCAAGCTGAAACATTGGTTCCCTTACGATCACCGAAGCTAAGCAACGTCAAGCCTGGTCAGTACCTAGATGGGTAACCGCTTAGAAATACCAGGCGCTGTAATCTTCGATGTATGGGTGCTGTAATGGATAACGGTTTGGAATTGTTAATCGGAGAGCTGAGTTCCAATTCCAGTCGGGTTCGTTATATTCAATTACGCGTAAATAACACTGGGAAAAGGTATGAATCCACCTCTTCTCCCCTCAGCTATGGGTTAATCAGTGTATTACTAAATTATTATTATTATCTCACCCACCACAGCAAAAATCTTATAATCTAACAAAATATTTTCTGGCTTTGAATTAATCGCAAAGGCTTGATAAGCTGTAGAAAACGAAATAATCAATCAATTCTCCATATTCGGCTCATCCTAAAATTGTGGTTGGTTCTGGCCAAGTCATCACCACTGTAGTTAAATTACATATGTAAGTAATCTACCTGATCAGATCAAAGAATTGAGTTGCTGTACCGTCATAAGTCGAAAACGATGGGAGAATCTAGTATACAGGTTACGATATGTAAATTGCCGCCATTTAATTTCGCGCATGCGCGTTACTTCTTTTTGATTTGGTTGACTGCACAGTATAGTAGGATCAGTTGGGTATCATCTGTGAGAAATAGAGGACGCAATTCCCCCCGCCAGAAATTTGGAAACGGCACGCTGTACTGCTTGCCATTCGCTCCAATACGAACATTTCAGAGTGTGAGGGTGTCAATCTGAGGACAGTGCAGAATATTCGGAATGAGTTGGATGAGTCTAATGGTGATTATAAAAGTACGGTAGCTCGGAAAATTCACTCTGATCGTTCCGATAAGGAAAAAACTCCCGAATTTGTAAGTGGTGGTCTCAGACTCAACGCGGAAACCTACATCAAGTGCCGTGAGGAAGTAGTACTTCCCTGGTTCAAGACGGAAGACCCTATGTCTGGTATCAGTCAATTTTTGTGACTACATCATCCCTTACATCCAAATCCCTAATTCCCCAGACTGCAACTCACTTGATTATTATGTGTGGGGCACAAGAGGTGATGTTGGGCAAAAAAATCCCACTATCATCTTTTCCTTCGTGATATCTGTTCTCTGTCGCCTCTCAGCTTGCTTGATTATCTTTGTAAGTAATTGTTAAATTTCAGTCTCTTCTCTTCCTGTTCATTTTAATTGTTTATTTATTTTCGATTACTGTTATTAATTCTCATAGTTTTGAATAATGTTCTTTGAAAGCGAAGCGAATTTTAGCTTCATCTCTCTCATTTTTAAAAATTCTTATTTTGAGTTCTTTGTTTGAATATGAAATCCTTGAAATAATCATGTTAGCATCGGACAGTTAACTCAGCCGCGTGTAACGACCATGATGTGGTTTAGTCTTTCTTCTTTCCCGCCGAAGTGCATGTTGAAACTTTATATATATATATATACATTTTTTCTGCCTGTGTGTGCGTGTGTATCTGTGTGCAATAGGAGTAGACAGGCCTACCTATCACCCGGTCAATACTCCACCCCTTCTCTTGAACAGGTATAGCGGCTCATCCATTGTTTCCAGTTTAGGAAGGGATTCCTGGATTTTTTCCTTTTCTCTGGTCTCTGTATTCGTGCTGCAATGAATCCCTTGTGATATGTGCAGTCTGTGGCAATGTCTCTTCATACTGAGGGTAACGGACTGACAGTTCTCTGGTTGCTGTTACCGACTGGGTGTTAGGGGCCGTAACTCTTGCGTAGCGGCTGCTCTGATCAACAGTTGCATAATATCGGAGTGCTTTTTGCGGCATGTCGCGCATGGAGGGTGTCGGGGCACGCACATCCGGTGGGCAACCCGAAGGCCACATTATGTTGCAGGCTGCGCCAGCTCCTTTCTGTCCATGTCGCATACGATGACCGTCAGCTATTATTGCTTTAGGCCTTCACACTTTCATTACCACACATGATTACAAACAATGAAAGAAGTAATCCTAAACCAGCTCGAAAAAATATCACCTTAAACCTTTTAACATTTCCTTTTCCAACATCCATGGCATTCGGACCAACTTCTCCCACTGGGTAGGGAACTCTCTCTTGAATCTCTAGTCCATTCATACATGTGTCTTCGTCTATCTCTCCTAAATTCTATAAGGTATATCTTCTTTCTTTATCGCTCTACATACTCTCAGGACTGTGGTGTACTCGATAGCATTCCCGATAACATAGACAAGGCTATCAATCTACATCCATCTGCAAACATATTTGTGTTCGGTAACTTTAATGCCCACCATACCAAATGGCTTAAACACTCTGTAACTGACCTTCCTGGCATACAGACACTTAACTTTTCAATCACTCAGTTTCTCACTCAAGTGGTTGACTTACGCGTTTCCACAGTAACCATGAAAATTAAGGGTCCCCTTCTTGATCGCTGTTTTACCCCCATCCCTGAGTCTTGCCGTGTCACTCAGCTCTGCCCTCTTGGCAACTCTGATCATGTCTGTTAACATCCACTTCTACTTCTCCCCTAGTAAAGAACCTCCTACTAACAGAACATCTTCTGTTATTAACGAGTGAACTGGAACTTGTTCCGTGATTTCCTTCGCGATGTCCCCGGGAATACTCCCCGTCCAAAAATGTGCGTCTGAGATCAGATCCTGGGTAAAAGTTAGAATCGAGGCTTTCATCCCTGCAAGAAAATATAAAGTGAAATCGCGTTCATCCCTTTGGTTCTTTGCTGCTTGCTCAGCTGCTATTGCCCACAGGAATCACTACTTCCGTCTGCACCGTCGAGACCTGTCTGATTGCCACAGACATCTCTTTGTCACTGCTCGTAACGAGTGCAAGCGTGTCCTCAATGAAGCAAAGTTACTCTTTGCCGATAGAATGAAACAAAGTATTGCATCTCGCAAGTTTGGTTCTAAAGATTGTTGGCGTCTCTGCAAGAGCGCGCTGAACAGCAGCAAACCCACAATACTTCCTTTATTCAATCAATTTGAGGTCTTGGCTTCCTCAGCTGGTAACGCTGAATGTTTTGGTCGTAAATTCTCATTCAAATGAACGCTAGACTCATCTGGTGTACCCTGACACCTAATTCCACCCCCCTAGAACTGAGGCTCTACTGAGTGAGATGCATATAACCCCAACGATGGTATTGGACATAATCTCTAAATTAGACTTCCATAAGTCTAGTGGTGGGGATGGGATACCGGCTATTGTCTTGAAGAAATGTACTCCTGAATTGGCTCCTGTCCTCTCTAAACTTTACAACTACTACCTCGCCGACTCTTGCTTTCCAGCCTGTTGGATCTCTTCATCAGTTGTGCCTGTTTTTAAGAACTTTGGTGACCCTTCTGACCCGTCTAACAAGCGTCCTATCTGTCTCCTACTACTCTTCGATAAAGTCTTCGAGGTTTTAATCAACGCTGAAGTGGTTAAGAACTTTATTTCACATTATCTTCTCTCCGACAAGCAATATGGTTTCCGATTGGTCCGATCTACTGCTCACGTGATCACCGCCATAACTGAATTTATATACCAAGCACTTAACTATAACAGAGAAGCTAAAGCGTTTGATAGGGTTTGGAATGCCGGTCTTCTTCGTAAGCTTCAATGATACGATATTACAAGACGATTATTTGACTTAATACAATCATTCCTGTCAGACTATGAAATTAAGGTCGTCCCAAACGGGTTCTCCTCCAGATCCTTTATCACAAACGCTGATGTGCTCCAAGGCTCTATCTTGGGCCCTACACTACTTCTGATCTTCATCAATGACCTTCTCGATGTCATCAGTTCCCAAGTAGGCATCCACGCGGACGACACTGCTATTTACTCCTGCCTCAATCGTAAATCTGGAATCGTTGACAAGACTAGGAAATGGGTCGCAAACATTAATACCTCCAAAACGAAACTGCTCTCGTTTACCTACCATAGAGAACCCTCCCTGCCTTCCAGCAGAATGGCTGATTACCAACTCCTCGAGATCACCTCGTTACGGCTACTTGGTCTCACGCTGTCCGCTGACATAAGGTGAAACAAATACTTTGAATCAATAGCTTCAACTACCGCAAGGAAAGTTGTTTCTCTCTGTCGTGCCAAAAAGTTTTCTTCTCGTCAGAGTCCATTCTTCAAATCTATAAATCAACCATCCGTCCTTGCATGGAATATTGCTGTCGTATATGATCTGGTGTCCCCGTTGTACGTCTCGAGGTCCTCGACAAAATCCAGAGATGGATATGCAATGTGATAGGTTCTGATATAGAATCTAGTTTACAGTCGTGTCGTGGCTTTCCTCTGTCTCTTCTACAAGTATTTTCACGGCAGCTGTTCCGATGAGCTATTTTCTCTGCTTCCCAGACTACATGAATTTAAGCGTGCTACTAGGCTGGCACCTCGGTCCCACCCTATCACTGCCAAAACGGTTAAATGTAAATGCATCATTATGGCAGTTACTGTCGCAGGAGGTGGGTGTCATATACAATAAGGATCTTCTCCATTTTCCACGTATGTGTAGAATCGAACGCTTTAGAGAAATAAGGCACACTGCCGGTAAGAAAAACAAGAACTTGCAAGTGATCTACTGACCTGGACACGTAGGCATTGAGCAAGACAGGTTGGTCATCCAGCAACCAACGACTTGATGACCTTCCGACTTTGATGCAGAGCCGTAATAGTTGACGTATTAGACTAATGGTTTGGTTTAGTTTATTTTTGTTTTATGGCATATCAACCTCAATGGGTTATGTAATGCCGATAAGATTTTTAGGATAGATTTATATGAACAGAATATGTATTCTTTGTAAGAAATCAGTTTGTAGGAGATCAGGTTTTATTGACGTATTTTCGTAAAGAGGTTTTTGGTTTAGTTTGTTTTATGGCATATCAATGGATTATTTAATGCAAAATTTTTTTATTGCTGGTAATATTTTGTTTTGTCAAAATTCTATTTCTGGTAATATTTTTTTCCAAAAATGTATTGCTGGTAATTTTTTTTTTAAATGTATTGCTGATAATAATTTTTTACAAAGTATTTTTGGTATTAAAACCTATTATAACACTTTCATAGTGTTTTAAACCCAGTTTCGGGGTTAACTATTTGCCCAT